TCCGCCAATTGACTAACAATTGGGTTCCTACTTACTGCTGGGTAAATAGAGGCGTGTGGAGTAAGGAAACTTGCCTAAGGTTTCTCCCCACCCAGGAATCAAACCCAGGTCCTCTCACCTGTGAGGGTAGCACACTCAGCCCTGCTTTTCCATGTCACCGTGTCAACTAACCCCAGGGCTGGCTATCACCGTTTCTCACCTTGTACTCCTGGATGAGGCCATTCTGGTGCTCGGCGGGAGGAGGGTCCCAGGACACGCTGATGCTCGTGGTGTTGTGGTTGCCCACAGTCTGTACGGTGACGGACTGCGGGGGGGCGCTCGGAGCTGGGCAAACGCGGGGCACAAAAGTGGGAGAGACATTAACACCGTCTGCACACTGTCACATTCAGCTTAACGCACACTCACACAGTCACACTCACACACACTCAGTCAGTTACACACACACACAAACTCACACACATACGAACATGCACACTCACACGCGCACTCCCCCACGCACTCCCCCGCATTCTCGTGCACACACACGCACACTCATACACTCACCCACACTTGCACACACACTCAAATACATACTCACTCGCACTCGCGTGCGCACACACACACACATTCATACACTCACCCATACTTGTGCACACACACACTCACATACACTCATGCACACACACTCACCCACACTCACGTGCGCGCGCACACACACACGTTCATACACTCACCCATACTTGTGCACACACACTCACATGCACTCGCTCACACATACATACACTCGCACACACATACGCACATACACTCGCGCACATACACTCACACGCAACGTACTGGCCATTGGTCATCAGCCGGTGTGGATCAAGGTTCACAGTGCTGTGTCCACCCTCACACACAGTGACAGAGACTGAACCACAGTCAGCCTGACCCTCAGCACAACCATGGTAAACTTAAGGAAACATGGGGAACACGGTGATAGTTTGGGGTACGAGATGACAGTTTGGGTGTACAGGAGTGATATTTTTGGGGTACAGGGTGTGAAGGTTTGGGAGTATAGGAGGTGACCGTTTGGGGGTACAGGAGGTGACCATTTGGGGGTACAGGAGGTGACCATTTGGGGTACAGGAGGTGACCATTTGGGGGTACAGGAGGTGACCATTTGGGGGTACAGGAGGTGACCATTTGGGGGTACAGGAGGTGACCATTTGGGGGTACAAGAGGTGACCATTTGGGGGTACAGGAGGTGACCATTTGGGGGTACGGATGCGAGTTTGTGGGTACGGATGCGAGTTTGTGGGTACGGATGCGAGTTTGTGGGTACGGATGTGAGTTTGTTGGTAGGGGATGCGAGTTTGGGGGTAGGGGATGCGAGTTTGGGGGTAGGGGATGCGAGTTTGGGGGTAGGGGATGCGAGTTTGGGGGTAGGGGATGCGAGTTTGGGGGTAGGGGATGCGAGTTTGGGGGTAGAGGATGTGAGTTTGGGGTAGAGGGTCAGTTTTGGGGTTCTCTCTATCGCTCACCCTCCTCCGAGGTGCGGGCTGTCTTGGTCTCACTGTCGATGCCCTGAAAGTCATTGAAGTAGGGCCGCACTTTGATCTCATAGCCCGTGGCCCTCTTCAGGCCCGTCAGCACTGTGTTGCGTTCGCTGGTCACCGTCACGTCCTGGGTTTGCCAGGCCGGGGGACCCTGGGGACCCGGGGTCTGTCGGTACAGAACCCGGTAACCCTGGATAAACTGTGACTGACTGTCCACCTGGCCAACAGAGAGAGAGAAAGAGAGAGAGACTCACTGAGACTGAAAGAGACACAGAGAGAGACTGAGAGAGACACAGATAAACCGTCTCACTGAGACTCACAGACTGAGAGACAGAGATTGAGAGAGATAATCACTGAGAGAGTGAAAGAGAGAGTGAGACAGAGGGGGTGGCAGAAAGCGAGGGGTGAGGGTGTCACTTACAGTCCAGGTGACCTGAATGCTGGATGGCGTGAGCACGACGGGGGCGTGCAGATGCACTATGACGTCCCCCAGCTCTCTCTGTACCTGACGGTGGTCCACTCCCTGAGCCGGGGGGGTGATATCTGTCAGCACAAAGCACAACGGGGAGGGAAGGGGTCAGAACAGCCAGCGTAAACACTGCCGCAGGGAGTTGTTATCTGTAGAGCATTCGAATCACAAGCGAGAGGACCCGGGTTCGATTCCCGGGCGGGGCGAAACCTTAGGCAAAGTTTCCTTACTCCACACGTCTCTGTTTACCGGGCAATAAGTAGGAACTCGGTTGTTAGTTGATTGGCGGATGGCTTTCCGGGTAATAATTCATCCCCCAAAAAATCTGGTCACTCGACCCACGGCTGTTTGTGGGACACCACTATGTGCAATTGGCTGCTGCGTTTCCTCCACAAAATACACAGTCACTACACTTTACAGTATAATAGTAATAATCCTTGCATTTGATACAGCGCCTTATCGCGTCTTCGAGACGTCTAAAAGCGCTTCACAGAATACGCCTCAAAGTGAATTGACTGTAGATTTTGTGGGCGAAATATATTCCGTGAAGCTCTTTGGATGAGACGTTAAACCGAAGTCCCGTCTGCCTTTCCAGGTGGACGGTAAAGATCCCGCGGCGCTATTGGAAAAGAGAAGGGAGTCTCTCTCTCTCTCTCTCCCGGTTGTGTCCTGGCCGACAATCCACCCAAATAAAATTGGTCGTTCGCTCCACGAACCACGGCTGTTTGTGGGACACTGCTGCTCGCGAACTGTCTTGCCGCGTTTCGCCGACAAAGTACACAGTCACTCCACTTCACAGTATATCCTGTGAAGCGCTGTGAGACGTCTCAACGACGTGATAAGGCGCCGTGTCGAATGCAGGGTTTATTATTGTTAATAAACAGGAGCCAGCCCTGAGACACACACCAGCCTGACAGCACCAGACTTTCCCCTGGATAATTTATCT